AACATCTCCCAACCCCAATTTCTTGTAGACTGAGTATGGCATCAAATTAATTCCTGCTCCAAGATCACAAAGTGATTTTTTGAACTCTGTACCTCCAATGACACATGGAATGGTGAAGCTGCCCGGATCATCCCTCTTCTCTGGTAATTTATTCTGAATCACAGCACTACATTCAGAAGTAAGGGTTACCTTCTCTAGATCAGCCCATTTGCGCTTCTTTGTCAGCAACTCCCTTAAGAATTTAGCATATGTAGGCATCTGTTCACGTGCCTCCACCAACGGTATGTTGATATGAAGTTGCTTGAAGATATTCACAAATTTCTTGAAGTTTGGGTCTTCCATGGGTTTCATTAACCTTTGAGGGAATGGCGCGGGAGGTTCATAAGGCTTTACCTCTTCATTCTTCAATTTTTCCACTTTTTGAGGTAAACGGGCAGCATGCTTTTGCACAGGCAAACCTGCTTTCATTTTGCCTGTGCAAGGCTGATTCTTCATTTTCTGCACAAGATCTTTCTCCCGGTGCTTCCTCTTCTGCCTCTGGTGCCTTTTTCGAGCTGCTAGGGTCTTCCAAGGCCTTTCCACTCCTCAATGTCACTGCTACAACCATGGCATCCTTCGGATTCCTCTCAGTATTTGCTAGTAATGTCCCAGGAATCCTGCCTTGCATATCTGCCAAAGTTTGAGCCATCTGTCCCATCTGCCTCTCCATAGCTAGCATAGATGATTGTAAATTATTGTTGATGGCTAGCTGTTGAGTGACAAATTGATCCAGACCCTTGAAATTATTGTCTGTTTTCTGCATATGAGCCAAAATCAACTCTTCCAGTAGGGGCTTCTTCTCTGGTTGAGGTTGCTGCTGTTGAAAACCAGGAGGTGGGATGTTTCGAACACCAGCTGGATTATTGTTCGACCATGACATATTGGGGTGATATCTCCATCGAGGGTTGTACGTATTTGAATACATACCACCTTGGTCTTGACTTCGCGGATTATTGATGTATTGGACATCTTCCAACTGAGCAGCTCCCAGTGGACACATATCCCTATGATGAGGACCCTCGCAAAGTTCACATGAAGCAACCTCCTCTTGTCTACCCAGAGCAATCTTGGCCAACCTTCGTTCGAGTGCATCAAACTTGGAATCCAGTTTAGCATCTATCTTGGCTTCTAGACTCGCAACTCTGTTTATCTCATGCAAGCCTCCTCTTCTTCGAATATTGGTCTCACTACCCCATTCAGTGGCTTCTGAACATATCTTCTCTACTAGATCATATGCTGCTGGTGCCTCCATGCTTGTGAAACCATTTCGAGAAGCATTATTCAGGGCATCCCGAAACTCCCTTCTGATTCCATTGAAGAAAATAACGATCACGTTCCAATCTTCAAGACCATGGCTTGGGCATCTCATCAACAGCCCCTTGTAGCGCTCCCATGCCTCAATCAGACTCTCATCATCAATCTGCTTAAAAGTAACAATCTCTTCTTGCCTCTTCATTGCCAAGGCAGGTGGGAAGTATTTATCCAGAAATACCTTCTCAAGCTGACCCCATGTCGTGATGGAACGGGGTGTTAAGTTTTGGAACCAATGTGATGCATTCCCTAGCAGAGAAAATGAGAACATCCGAAGACGGATTGCATCATCAGACACGGTCGGGCTCTTCATAGTATCACAAATGCTCGCGAATCAGCGAAGATGCTCATGAGGATCCTCACTGCTAGCCCCGGAGAAGGTGTACCCATTAGTGATCATATTGATGAAGGCTGGGGTAATCTCCATGTTTGCATTCCCAGCCGGAATGACAACACATGAAGCTCGGGCTCCAGTCCTTCGATTCAAGCGAGCCCTGATCGAACGATCCTGTTCTGCCATGATGACAGGCTCGATGATGCGCGGCGGCGGTGTCGGTGGTGTAGGGATGACAGGTGATGAAGCCTGTCCTCTCTATCGACGACTATGGGTTAGGGAAGGCCTGGGAGTTGTGGTTGGCTGCTTCCCTAACTTGACCTGCTTCCTGTTCTGTCGGCAGGTCTTCTCGATCTCCGGATCTAGTGGCAATAAATCGCCGGTCGTCCTCCTAGACATGCACGAGGAGGATAAACCTGAAAATTCTTCTGCACACTAAAACACGGATCAAAATAGTTCACTCACAAAAATCAACAAAAATAAGGTATGGCAGTCCCCGGCAACGGCGCCAAAAACTTGATAGGGCAAAAGCGTATAGCTTCAATTCCTATCTTGTAGTAAACCGGAAAGTCCGGGTATCGTCTCTCAGGGACTGGTACAACCTTATGATTTATCAATTCTATGGAGTAAACTATAGGTGGTAATGGTTTAATGAGATGAAACTATGATCTACTAGCAAAGTAATTAAACAAAACAAGCAAATTAAAATGTCGGGTTTAATTCAATGGGAGAAAGCTCTGGGAGAAACACCGGGATTCACTACCTATCCTATCCAGATTAATTCACATATTCCAATCAATTTAATCCATACCTCTACAGCCAGGATATCACGAATGTGCTAGCTATCCCTGTCGGGAATTACTACGTACTAAACAATTAAATCAAATCCTACTGTCGTAGCTCAATGACGTAATTATTTAGCCTGAAGATCGATATCCTATGTAAGACCGCATAACACCTTATTTAATCCACTGTCGCTTCGATAAGTTACTATGTCACATGAAATATGTTCAGTTATTAGGGTTTCACTGTCGCTAATAACCTAATTAACTACGATTCATTGTATTGATGGCCAGTCAACACAAAGCATTAAGAAATTTCATGCAATAGAGATTGGAAGAAAAGAATCATAAATCAATCCATCAAATCAAGAGATAGCTACATCCTATGGTGTTTCCCCCAGAAATTGGGGTTTAGTTCATGACTAAATTAAAATAAATCAATAGGGTTTTGTTCATCATGTTCTAAATCAACAAGAAACAACTAATTCGGTTTAGAAAATCCAACCAACTAATCGCTCTCGTTGAACTCAGCTCAAGCCTTGGAGAAGTCGATCGTCAATTGCCAATAGTCGCTGCTCCTCCGCGCGTCCCAAGCTTTTCCAATTCTCTCTATGCTGCGCGCTGCTGCCGCCTTTTTCCCAAAGAGGATTTCGTTCCCCAAAACAAAAGAATAAAAGTGAGACCCTCCTGTTTCAGCCGCCCCCAATTAATAAAACCTCCTCCCCGGTTAATTGCTTCCGCTGCGCCTCTGTTAATTCCAATCCAACTTCCCCAGCCCAGGAGAATTTCCTTGGTCCATTTAATTTGGCCCAGTCCACTCCTCCAAACACATTAAAGTTCCGCTCTTCTTCAATAATTGCCTTTGTTCTCCTTTTAATTCCGCTAGCCTCCAAATCTTCTTCCTTCGCAATTCTGTTCTGGTTCAACTTCCTCAAAATGGCCCGTCCAACATAATAAATGGCCGCCTATTTGCCTGTCGCAGCACAGCCGGCCCAAAAGCCTCGTTCCTTTTTCGTGCTTTCTCCACCTGTATCATATCAAATTCATGGCACTAGGCAGTAATGGTTTTTCAACCATTCTCGGGTTAGCGAGCCCTAAAATAGCACCAATTGGCTAAAACATACCATGGATAATCACATAAAGTCCAAAAATCCGATATATTAAAGCCAAATATCACTTATGCATCAACTCTCCCCTCTTTATTTAAATCAAACGATAAACCGCATTGAAGATGAAATAGACGGATGAAGGGCGCTGCTGATTCTATATAAAGACCTCCCCTGAAATACGAAGACAACAGTTTCCTCGACTCAGTAAGAACTAGTCAGTTCTTTGGGAGTCTTTGGATTGGGTTCGGATTAAGTGTCTAGATAGCTTGAGTTGGGGCTTGCTGCCAGGAAATCTAGCTAATCTAGGCTCCTCTTCTGTTCTAGTCTTCTTTCTGTTCGTGTTCCATTTCAATTAGGGTTTCGTTTCAGTTAATGAAATTCATGTCTTGATTTGATAGGTGAAATTGAGTCCCTTTTGTTTCTGACTGCGTTGATTTACATTTCGACTCATGAAATAAAATATACAATCTTTTGATTGCATCTCCCTGTGATTGGACTTTCGAGAGAGATGGATTACGCTAATATTGATGTGTATAAATACAATGATCTTGATTTGGGTCCAATTGCACATGTTTTCTCCCCATATTCTTGAGGTGCTTGAGGCATTTTCATCCCGTGAGGTTCAATTTTACGCTAGGTTGTGCATGTTTCTAACATGTTTCAGGTTCTAGCAGGTGAAATTGTCATTGGGAGCGAAAGTTGGACGAAAGGGAGCGAAAACAGATCGAAGGGAGCAAAAAGCCGAGGATCACGATGGAAGCACGATTATCACGGTCAGGCCGTCCGTAATAAGGAGGCCCATACCATGAAGCACAAGGAGACCAGATAAGTTTTTGTTCCTCGTGGGCCTAAACGACATCACGGTAGCGAGATCGTGATAATCTCTTAGAGACTATGAAAACCCTAAATGAAACGACACACTTTTGTTCGAGATCATGATTTGAGCTTCCAGATCACGACCATGATCTGAGACCGTGAAAAGAGCGATCTCGGTATATAAGGAGGATGGAGCTGAAACTAAAGGAGGAGATCCTAGTAAGATATTGCATCTTCTTCCTCAACTTTTAGAGAGAGAAAGCGACAAATAAGAGAGGAGAAGAGAGCTAGGGTTTGCTCCAAGTTTGAAGATGTGAGAATTTCATCCACCAAGATTGATTTCTACATCAAAGGAAGAAAGACAAATACCACATCATGGGGTTTTCTCGCTTATTTGTTGTATTTCCTAGTCTAGGCATGGAGTAGTTCTCTCTTTCACTTGGGTGTTGTGAACCCTAGCTTTAAATATGTGATAGATTGTATGAATTGAATGCTTTGTATGTGGGTTGTGTTTTAATGCAAGGATTGAGGTATTTTCAGAATGATTGAGTTTTGTTTTCCATTTCTCATTACTATGCCAATTTGACTTAGGTAGAGGAAAATCTTGTTCTTGCTAAGAGGATTTTATAAGCTGGATTATTTGTAGTGGCTTCTGAAAGCCGCCTCCAACTTGTGTGTCCTTAAGAACAATGTTGTTCACGGGAAGAGATACGTTGGGTTTGCGCGCTTCTGGCAACACTGTTGTAGCCAGATTTGACGATGGAGTTTGGTTGACATTAGCTGGTCGACCAACCATCGTATCATCGTACGCAACCGATATGGTTTCATATTGAAACTCATCAAAATCATACGTGGCTCTACGTATTGACATATTAAAATCCGAAAAACAATAATCTAACTTATCACACCATCGATTTCTATTTTTTTTCAAGATTATACAATTTGAGTTTTAGCTCTAGGCGAAACTCCTCCATGGATTGACGTAGATACAGGATTTCAACTTGTAGAAGCTCTTCCGTCCCTTAACTACGTCTATCTTCCTCGTTCGCCTGGCCAATTTCAATGTCGGGTGACTCCTCCTCCTCCTCCACAAGTACGTGTGGAAGATCACAATCTTGTTTTTCTCGTCACACAACCATATTCATGCCTCCACAAACAATGTAGTCAAAACAATGTCGTCCACTCACAATGACATATCGTTGTGGCCAAACCATCAACGTGGAGGCCACCGCCGCATTTGTCCTTAAACAACATTTTTTGTTAGTAGTGCGGCGTTGTTTTCCTTGCAGCTTTGCTCAAGATAGTAAACATTGCATGGCGATACTAGCCTAGGCAAAACTACATAGTTGCTTAACCCCCATGACCTCGTCGAACCTAGGATATTGTCCCGGCATCGCCAACCTCGCGATGTCGTTGGCCTCCATTAATCTACTCGTCCCTGCAACGTCGTTGTGTCGTTTATTATTATTATTATTATTATTATTATTATTTATTCGCCTAGCTCAGTCCGCGACACCGTTTGTCTTGCAACAAAGTTTAGCTCGCGACCTTTTTCAATTCGTTGCGTCACTTAGCTCCGCAACATTGCCAAACTTGCAACACCGCTAAAATTGTTCATCTCACGTCGTCGTCGACCTACGACGCCACAACAATATATTTTTAAGCCGAAATTATTTAAGATGTAAACAGTTGTTAAGGATAACATGCTCAATCGGGATGCTTGGGAACTTGTCATGGAGGGACGATCTAGGGAGTTGATCATAGTTCCTTTTGTAGTCCACATATTGGACATTATACACACAGTTCCAAACTCTGAACTTAGGGGCTCGTTTGGGTCTTTGGGATCATATATGAGTGGTGACACTCATGCTGATCACGTTGGGCTATAAGGGGTTAATGGGTCCTGCGAGATTTTTAGTCATTCTGCAAAATTTCATTCACCTGAAAAGATCCTACCAAACGTGAAACCCCTTCGGATCATTTTCGCAACCTGTCACTCAATCTATATAGTAATATTTTCACTTCAACTTCTGTTTGTTAACGTTGACGATATCTCCGATAAACTGCGCTGTGGATCGGAATGAGAAGAGTAAGGCAGCCAAGTTTATAAGCAAAAAACTTGTGATACGATGACTCGCCCTCGCGCTTTTGTTAGTTGTAACCAACATCAGCAAGCCAACAAAGGCCCGCCCCTCTTTTCCTTAAAGTTGTCCCAAAAACGTGACAGATTCCAGCCCTCTTTCCCCTCCCATAATTCTGGAGACACGCAACATGCACTGATGGGACAAAGATCAAACGTAAAAACTCTTGCTAACGTTAATCATCCCCATATTAATTATCATGGTCAACCAAGTCCCCCAAGTAAAACCTTCCTCTAACTCCCAACAACTTCCCTTTCCAACTAGTACACGTTAATGAACAAAGCGACACCAATACATTAATTTCCCATCTAAAATTAACCAACCACCAACAAGGAAAATGATGCCGAGGAGAAGAAAGAATTTCCCAATAACACAGCTCTCTGTTCATTTGGGCAAAGATGGCTTCTTTACTCGTCTTTCTTCATGGCGTCTTTCTTCTGGCCTCTCTTGCGGATCCCCATGCAGAATTTCAGCCTCCACGCATCCACGGCTGACTCTGGGAGGGCGCCTATCAGAGCCCAGAGAAATGAGTGAGGCCAGTAAGGCGTGCAACGAGGCTCGTACCCTATCCAGCGCAGTCCAGCCTTGGCATAACCTTCGTTCGATGGAACGAAGAATGAGGACCTCTTTATCGATGCCATCTTTGTGGCCACGTATAAAGGAACCTGCATTTCGGGAACTCTGGATGAGTCAATAAAGTTTGAATTGAACATAACATACGTTACGTACAGCGAACGAGCTATATCATACATAACATCACATATCACAGCTCGAGAGCTAGTATTCGACTATTGTCTATTCATCTCATTTTCGGAGAAACCAGGTGATGAACTTCACAATGTACAAGTTGGGAATGGTATCATGATGATGTGAATGAAGGATCAAGTGGTCCATAGGTAACCAAAGCAATCCCTCTGAAATCAGCTCTTGAGCTGTGATATGTGAAAAAGCTGCATCATTTCTAAATCATCCATACAAAATGAGAAGTGGGTTGATTATATTAGTCCTATACTTCTTCTCGAAAAAAAACACTCTTAAAGTTGGCATGAAGCTCAAGGAAAGCATTCCATTTCACCTTAATCCCCATAGAGAATCCATTTCACCCTCTCATTACCATTTTAAACAGTTTCGTGCTCAAAACAAGAACGTAGAGATACTTCCTAACCCTCCTTTCACCTAATCATCAACAGAGATTGCAGTTTCCCTCCTCCCAATCTACTGGTCCACCTCCCAGTAGCATATTAAACACTTCCACATGCAAGAAAAGGTATCATAATGATTCTTCCTTAAGCTCTTATAAAGCAGGCAATCGATTCAACCCCTTCAAGTTACAAACTTAAACTTGTGCAATGTGCACTATGCAACGTGCAAAGCTTAAATCCCTAAAGTTTCAAGTTAGAGAATTCGATGATGGTAATACCTGGCATTGCACATCAATCCCACTCTTCTTGTACTCAACATAAAGGCATCTCGAGAACTGATCAATGTACCTGAGACCCCCCAAAACAAACAAATCAGCACAAGTCAATCTCACAAAAACTCTTGAGACATCAATCAAAACCACCAAAAAGAAGCTCAAAGCTTACGCTTTAGTAGCAGCATAAACAGCATAAAGAGGATCCGAAGGGATCACAATGGCAGCACCAGATCCAATGTTGACTATGGCTCCCTTCTTTCTTTTCAACATCACAGGCAAAACCGCCTGAGTCACTTTAGTCGTCCCTTCCACATTCACCTTAATCAAATTCCTCAGCAGCTCCGCGTCCACCTCGTGGAAGAATCTCGCGTATGGATACGAAACGCCAACGTTATTAATCAAAACTCCGACATCAAGCCCTTCAATGGTCTCCTTGATCCTCGTCACCCCGCTGTCGATATCCCCACTGAAATCGACCACCACCGTTTTGATTTCAACTTTACTATACTTGGCGGTAATCGAATCGGAGACTTCTTTCAGCTTGTCGGGGTTCCGGCCGACGATTACTAGATTGATTCCTTTGCGAGCAAGCTGGAAAGCAAATCCCTTGCCGATTCCGTCAGTAGCTCCGGTAACCACCGCCCACGAGCCGTATTTCTTGAGGTTCTTGCCCTGGCGGAGGAAATTAACGTATACCCATTGGAGGAGGGCGAAGGAGAATTTGAGGGCGGTGAGGGAACCTAAGATTAAGAGAGGGAGGAGATAAAAAGGCTGGTCTTTTAACTTGTCGAGGAAGCAGAGATCCATTGGAGGAAGCTTGATTGAGATCGTTCGAGCTGGATCTGGATTGGAGAGGCGGGGGAAAAAGGAAGAAGTTGAGAACTGAGAAGTGGGTTTTGGTGGGGGGATCAATAGATTGATATAGAGCTGAGATTTTGGGGTGAGTGACTGCGATGCCGAAGGATTCCTATGCAGAGAAACAATGGTAGGGTTAAGAGAGTTATAAAGGACGAGGGAAAAGGAGGGAGAGGGGGATGGGTGAAGTAGATGAGCGGAAAACCACCGTATTTAACTTCTGGATGGCGACAGCAGCCATAACTGAACGTGGGGACTGGGGCGGAGAGCAGCAGAGAGGCAGGGGTCGTAAACAGAGTATGGGTTTCCCCCCTTCTTTTTCCATTCTCTTTTACGTTTTACTTTTACCCTTCCCTCTGTTCTCCGAGCAAAGGATTAGGATTTAGGAGTGCGACGAAAATCCGAAGGAAAAGAAAGGTTTCAAATTAAACAAAACCCATTACACGAAAGTCGAAGGAGAAAACTACAACACTCTGTTTCAAATTTTGTGACATGCGATTAAGGTTTTCAACGGGCGGGTCGATCCAGATCAAGTCGAGTTAATAGGTCATGGGTTAATGGGTCACCCGATTTAGTCCGGTTTAGTCCGAAAATATAAAAAGAGTCATTATATTGTACTTATCCGGAATTCAACATAGAAAAAATGCAACACACATAAAACTCCAACGTACTTAAATAACATCAACTTATATTCAACATAATAAAAACAGTATCAACACAAGTTATTTTGCTTAATCTAAAACACGTCCTGGATAAAGAATGCAACCTAGCCAACATAGAAAACAAATGGTCTGATGTCATTAGAGGGGAAGAGGAAAATCAAAGAGAAGTTGAGCAAAGCAACCTAGCAGGCCAAGCTTCCAAGTAAGAGGCGATGACAACTTAATCTCTTTTCTGCAATGACCGTTTTGCAAGTAAGGTCACAAATAATCAAGATCCCAACTTGCAATACGCTTCCCAAGGACAAAAACAATTATCCCCATAGCAAGAATTGGATTTTACCACTTGACGACAACAAAGAGTAAGCAAGCATAGCGACGATTTAACATTTGTAAAATGATTTGGCGTAGGAGGAAGTGCATTCACTGAAGAACATATATATATTGATTTTAATCGGGGAGACTTCTAATGATACGTAATTTCACCACAGTAATAAACAGTGGGAAAGAATTCATACATGGAAACATCAAAGGTAGCAATCTGATTATGCAAAGTGGATCGACCCATTGCAGAAAAAGCAAACCAGATTCGAGTAGCTAAATCATCAAACACTCTGTTCTTTTGATCATCCCCAATTCTCTCAAAGAGCACAAATCATGTACAGATAAAACAATCAAACGCCCTGGGATAGAAATCAAAACATGAGAAAGTGGAGGGCGGAGGCAGAGGAAGGGCGACGTAGCTTGAGGGGAGGGGACTGGGGAGGGTGGATGGTTGGATGCAGAGAGGGAACAGAGTCGGTGACTTGAAGCCGGCGACCTGGGAAGGTCGATTCTCCCCGACAACCTGGAGCTCGCTGCCGATGAAAGAAGAAGGAGCACGGCTGCGGGAGTGGAGCTGGAGACAGAGCGGGGCGGGACTGCGCGAATGGAAGGAGGTGGGCCGCCCGATAGGGCTTCTGTGTGATATGTTGAGCAGAACTGATTTGTATTATTGATATGTGAGAGTTTAAATACAATAGGTTCAAGAACGGATTCCCTACATTACAGCAGTAGTGGTAGAGTGGTTGAACAGTAAGTAACAAACTATGGGTTGATATGTAGGAACAGACTAACAGTCTTTGAGCAGGTCAGTATACTCTATCACCCCCCACAAGTGGAGGCTCGGAGAGGCGGAACTTGGAACAGAATTGGTTGGAGCCACGAGGGAGTGCTTTGGTTAGCACATCGGCCAACTGCTCATCCGCAGGAAGGTAATGAACACGGAGCTGCTGCTTGTTGATGCGATCCCGGACAAAGTGGAATTCAATCTCCATGTGCTTGGATCGACTGTGAAAAACTGGGTTGTGGGCAAGATATCTGGCGCCGAGGTTGTCACACCAGAGAGTTGGTGGCTGAGGCAGCTGCATACCCATTTCTTGTAGGAGGGATTGTAGCCAAATGACTTCGGAAGCCACCGTGGCAAGAGCCCGATATTCACTTTCGGTGGAGAAGAGGGGTGGGAGTGCGATTAATGAGGTAACAAGCAGTGTCGAAGGCGAGAGGCAATTATTGTTGAGGGACTTGAGCATGATGAAGCATAGCGAGGCCGTTATCAACGATGTGACGATGTTTTCGTTCAGCACAACCATTTTGCTCGGGGGTGTATGGACAAGAGGAGCGATGGAGAATGCCATTGGCAGAAAGGTAGGCAGAAAGGGGTTGATACTCGCCGGCCGCCGCCCCAATCCGATTGAAAAGATTTAATGGGAAGACTGAAGAATTTTTCTACGAGTTGGCAAAATTGAATGAACACACTAAGCAATTGAGATTTGTATTGGATAAAGTAAATCCATGAGAATTTGTTGTAGTGGTCATAGAAAAGAACATAGTAAGATTGGGAGTCATAAGAAAGTACCGCGGCAGGACCCCAAACATCGCTGCAAACAAGTTCAAGCGGGGCAGTGGCACGAAAAGACGATTGGCGAAATGGCAATTTGTGGATTTTACTAACTGAGCATCCATGACAAAGAGATGAAGAACCAGATGCGAATTTTATTTGATGATCACGCAAAACATGGGTAACATCACGGAGATTAGCATGACCAAGGCGTTGGTGCCATACATCTAAAGAAGCAACAAATGATTGAGGTACGAAAGTGCGACAAAGGGACAAAGGAAGAGAATATAGATCATCCACAGCAAAACCACGATAGAGTTCAGCCTTGGTGCGCCGGTCCTTGATGAGGAAAGAGGAATCAAAAAATTCAATGGAAACATCCTTAGTACGTGTGAGAGAACTAATGGATAAGAGATTGAAAGGGGCATTTTTGACACATAGAATATCGTTTAAGGAGAGTGGGAATTGACATAATCGAGCACGAGAATAGCCAGTATGAGATATGGGTAGTGTTTTACCATTGCCAAATGTGACGTTGTCGGTGCCATCATATTCGGTGTGATGAGTAATGTTGGCCAAATCCGAGGTCAAGTGATGGTTGGTGCCGGAATCAAGAATCCATTGTTGTGGATGAAGGAGCTGGGAAGGGGAGTGGGCTAAATTGGTGTACGGGCCAGGAGGAGGTGGATGATTGTGATAAATGGGGCTGGGACAGTGAGGCTTTATATGCCCTTTACCTCCACAATTATGGCAGACCAGATGAGAAGCACCTGATGGGCTGGATGAGCCGCCTGGTTTTGGGCCAAGTACACCTGCAGAGTGAGAACCAAAAGGGAAAGGGTTAGTGGGCAAACGGTCGTCGCTGCCGTGACCAAATCCGCGACCCCAAGTGCGGGCGCCACGCCCCGCTGAACGTAGAACGCCGCCGGAGTAGGCACGCGGGATAGATGGCGTTTCAGCTGGATTTCTTCGCTAAGGAGCAAGGAATGCAGGTCTTCAAAAGAGATGGGCTCCAATCGAGCTTCAATGTTGCGTGTGAAGGGGCGATAGTCGTCGCCCAATCCATCAAGGATCCAGGCCACCAGGTCGTCGTTGGGGACAGGAGCGCCGAGGGCAGCCAGTTGATCAGCCGTCGATTTCGCTCGATGAAGGTACTCATGAATGCCCTCGGTGTCGCGATGTAGATGCTGTAAAGATTTGGTGTGCTCAAGAATCTGGATCTTGGATCCAGAGGCATAGATCCGAGCTAGAGCCGACCAAGCATCATACGTCGTGGTCTTGTTGATGATGTTCGTCATCACTGCTTCATAAAGAGAGAGGATAATCCAGATTAACACAAGCTGATCTCGTTCATACCAGGTGGAGTAGTCGGGATTGGGAAGGCCGTTGACAAGTTGCGGTGGTGCCGGGGATGTGCCATCGACATGACCCATGAGTTTGTAGCACCGGAGAAGTGGGGCGAGTTGAGCATGCCAAAGAAGATAATTGGTGGGTGTCAATTTGATGGTGATTTGGGTAAATTGCAAGATTGGTCATTGAATTTACTAAAAACGTTCATGTTTGGTCACTATAAATATTTAATTGCATTCATGGTCACTAAGATTAGTTCAATAGTTCAAATTTGGTCACTCTCCGTTAGTCTCCATTAATTTTTGCTAATGTGGCAGTCAACTTCGTAGTTGACCGTTAAATGAGTGACGTGATAATTAAAAAATATTTAAAAATTAAAAAAATAATCTTTAAAATTTCCATCTCATTATACATTGATTAAAAAATAAATTTAAAAAGCCATGCAACAACGATCTCCCAGGAAATTCAAGGGAAGACGGCCGGACCGAAACCTCGTCGTCCGGTTCGGGCGAGGGCTTGAAAAAGAGAGGATTGAGCTCCGGTGTCGTGATCGTCTACCTATACTGGAAGAAGATGACGAATTAGGCGGCTGCAGTTGCATCGCAAAGGGGAAATTTGGCGGCGGGGGAGGAGACGGGAAATTCTTGCGAATCTCGATCTGTCCCACGTTCGGCTACTGTGTTCGCGGCCGTCAGACGATGATTCGGCGGCGTTAGATGCGACGGCGGGAGGAGGCTAACAAAGGAACAAGATGGAGTGACTGAAAACCTAGTTCTTTTACTTTCTCATTCATCAAATCCGCCTCTTATAGGCTCAGCAAACCATACAAACAGACAAGCTTCCATGGACATTGTTTGGTAGCTTCGAAAGGAAACCAAGTCTAACTTGGGGTAAAAGAAAGTACAGCCTAAAAGAGAAACAAATAAACGACAGCGCTTCATCAAGCTTCTTCAGTGAACATAAATGAAACGGCAGCGCAGCGGCATCTTAACAACGACAAAGACAAAACGACGATGGAGAAGCAGACGACCGTTGGAGTTGAAATTTGATTTCACTCTGTTACCCCCCCCCCCCCCCCCCCCCCCCCCCGCGCAAGCTGGTGGCCAGAGGTTTCGCACACCGAGCTTGGAAAGCAGCGAAAGAAATGGTGCAGGGGAGAGTGGTTTGGTGAAGAGATCGGCCAATTGATGTGCTGAGGAGATGTGCAAAAGTTTGAGTGTTCCCAATTGAAGCTTTTCCCTTACAAAGTGGCAGTCGAGCTCGATATGCTTCGTCCTCTCATGGAAGGTGGGATTTTTGGCTATATGAATGGCGCTCTGATTGTCACAGTACAAGGATGCTGGTGTTGAAGAAGAAACCTGGAAGTCTTGAAGAAGGTATTGCAACCACTGGATTTCACAAGCAGTAAAGGCCAGAGCTCGATATTCTGCCTCACAAGAGGACCTTGAAACGGTATGTTGTTTTTTGCTTTTCCATGAGATGAGGGAATCACCCAAATAGATGCAGAATCCAGTGGTAGAGCGCCTTGTATCCACACAAGCTGCCCAGTCAGAATCTGTGAATGCTTTTAGATGAAAAGATCCTTGGGATGGGAAGAAAAGACCTGTTGCTGGTGCTGTTTTCAAGTACCTTAACACTCGAAGAGCAGCCTTGTAATGAGTGAGTGATGGGTTGGACATGTACTGACTTAGTTGCTGTGTAGCAAAGCTAATGTCAGGGCGAGTGGTAGTGAGATAGATGAGCTTCCCAACTATTGTTCTGTAGTGTTCTGGATCCTCAAAGGGAATGTCAACTTCATTGCTGAGATGTAGTTTGTAATCCATAGGAGTGGTAACTGATTTTGAGTTAATGATATTTGCCTCTTCCAGAATCTCCAATGTGTACTTTCTTTGAGAAAGATGTATACCTGTCTTACTTCTTGCAACTTCAATTCCCAGAAAGAATCTTAGGTTGCCAAGGTCTTTAATGCTGAATTCTGAATGTAGAACCTCTTTCAAAGCTTGAATTTCATCCAAATCATTGCCTCCCAAAACCAAGTCATCAACATAAATGAGGATGCATGTGTAGCTAGTTTCTGTGACTTTGAAGAAGAGTGAATGATCAGCTTTGCTCTGGACATAACCAACTTGTAGAAGCTTGTCAGTAAGCTTAGAGAACCATTGTCTTGATGCCTGTTTTAGGCCATAGAGGGATTTTCTTAACCTGCAGACTGGATTTGGGATGTCAGGAGGAGGGGTGAATCCTTTAGGTAAGGTCATATAAGCTTCTTCTTCTAAGTCACCATTTAAGAATGCATTGTCTACATCCAACTGGTGAATGTGCCAATTTCTGAGAGCAGCAATAGCTAGGAAGGTTCTAACAGTAGTCATCTTGATAACAGGAGCAAATGTATCTTGAAAATCGATGCCTTCCTGCTGTGTATTGCCTTTGGCAACCAACCTGGCTTTATGTCTTTCTAGAGAGCCATCAGATAAAAATTTGTCTTTGTAGATCCATTTATTTCCAACTGGTTTCTTGTTGGGTGGTAAAGAGACAACATCCCAAGTGTGATTTTTGATCAAGGCCTGAATTTCATGCTGCATAGCCTGATTCCAGACATCAAGCTTAGAAGCCTCTTTGTATGATTGTGGTTCTTGATGACTGGAAATGTTTAATAGGAACCTTTTGAATGGATCATACAAACTGTTGTAAGAAATCATTGAGGATAGAGAATACCTGTTGTCTTGGATCTGTTGCAGGTTGAGATGATTGGAACTGCTAGGACCTTGTGCAAGGTAACAGTGGTAGTTTTTGATGAGGTGAGAGGGAGGTTTGATTGTTCTGTCTGATCTTCTGAGATTTTGTGGAGGAGGTGGGTTTGGAGGGGAGGATGGTGGAGATGAATTGGTTGGTGCTGGAGGTGTAGGGTGGTGTGGAGAAGAAGGTGGGGAAGGATTGTTTTCCGGGTCAGGAGGAGGATGTATTGTAGGAGAGGAGGGAGTAGTGGTGGTAGGGAGGGGATTATTGTCATGAACAAGATTTGAGTCTGGGGATGGGAGAGGGAATATGAGATCTGATGTAGAGGTAGAGGAATCATCAGACTGTATTTCTTGGAAGGGAAAATGGGACTCATAGAATATGACATCTCGTGAAGTAAATACTTTATGAGATTGTAAATCATATAGCCTGTATCCTTTGATGCCAGGAGTATATCCTATGAATATTGTTTTTCTAGCTCTAGGTGGGAACTTTGTTCTGTGAATGGCGAGGGTGGAGGCATAGCAAATGCAACCAAAAACTCTTAACTCTGTGAGGTCAGGTGGCTGTTTGTAGAAAAGATGATAGGGTGTTTGGTTTAGAAGAACTGCTGTGGGAACTCTACTAATGAGATGGACAGCATGTTTTACACAATATGCCCAGAAAGCTGGTGGCAGATGAGCTTGGAATTGCAGAGCTCGGGCCACAGCAAGAATGTGTTGATGTTTTCTCTCAACTTTGCTATTCTGTTGTGGGGTTTCTACATAGGACATTTCATGAGTAATGCCTGTTGATGTGAAAAAATCAGACATTTGGAATTCTTGGCCTTGATCAGACCTGATGGTTTTGATTTGTTTTTGAAATTTTCTTTGCATCTGAGTGCAGAAAGCTATCAGTTTTGGTCTGGTTTCTGATTTGAGATGGAGAAGAATGATCCATGTCATTCTAGAGAAGTCATCCACAATTGTCAAAA